TTAAACTCAGCGAAATGATTTATATAAATATAAATAAATAAATAAATAAATAAATAAGTAAATATATATATATATATATATATATATATATATATATATATATATATATATATATATATATATATATATATATATATATGTATATATATATATATATATATATATATATATATATATATATATATATATATATATATATATAAAGAGAGGGATTGAGAACCGAGACATTCAGAAATACAAGTTCCGCATCAAATAGACAGTCAATACAGTTAAACTTATTTTCATTATTTTTTATTATTCATTAAAACACCTAGATACCATCAAGCCATTAAATTCCTAAATGTCCCAGATGGGTCTGCCGGAAATTTCCGTACTCCCAAAGTTGGCTAATGTGGTTCGGGAATTTTAAAAAAATCTTCGCACTCTTGGGACCAATACATTTACTTGAGTACTGGTACAATTAAATTTATTTTCGGAAAAGAACATTTCTGTTATTTGTAGTTTTTAATGTAACGTGAAACCTAATATTCGAGAAAAAAATATTTGCACTATTAAAATGGAAGCAAATTAGTCGAAATTAAAATACAGTTAATTAGTAAAAATATTTGCACTATTAAAATGGAAGCAAATTAGTCGAAATTAAAAATATAGTTATTTAATAAAACAACAACCATTATTAATAATTAAGTCGGTAATATAATATTTCAGTTTAGAGTTGGTATTTTTAAGTTACTCATAATCTCGAGGGAAAATGCTAATATGATACAAGAGAAAAATGTATTTCATTAACCTTACGGTTACCCCGTATAATACATTTAGATAGACGACCACAACAGATGTTATATAACATTTGTGTTATATAATATAACCGTGGGAGGCAGAGGCTAGACGTAACTAAGACAATAACTCAAGTAGCTCTGCTAGTACTTATTAACCCCGACCAGTGGCGTAGCGAGGTCGGGTGTCACCCGGTGCGGCACTTAATGGTGTCATTTCCCCCCCCCCCCCCCCAGATGCGTAGCGACCCTTCCCGGGGACAAACTTTCAAATTTTCGATTTGCACCCCCCCCCTCAAACTTTCGATTTGCACCCCCCCCCTCAAGTTTTGGATTGGAACCCCCCCCCCCCCCACCATCAAACTTTTGATTTGCACACCCCCTTCAAGTTTTTCTCTATATATTTTGCTATTTTTTGCCTTGGTGTCACCCCCCTAAATGGTGTCACCCAGTGCGATTCGCACCCTCGCCCCCCTCGCTACGCCTCTGGCCCCGACTTTAGCTGACTGGTGACTGGTTGGAGTTTTGTTTACACGAAGCAAAAGTTCTAACGAAATGATATTGACTTACTTGATTGTGTGATGTTGTACTGCTTCGATGATCTAGTGACGTAGAAAACTGATTGGCGCGGACATAGCATCGCTGCACTCAAGACGAGGGTGTAATTAAGAATACAATCCCGTGGCCTTTCTGTACTGGTTCAACACTGGCCATCGATTGATGGCCCATGGTTCGTGGGGGAGGGGGACGGGGAGGGGACACACACGCCATCATTCATACATCAAGGGTATCAATTTGTTTGAAGAAGCGGGTTAAAATCTGCAACCTTATCATCGATAGAGCAGACATAAAAATAATAGACGTTTAATTGGTGGATGGGTAGGGATTAGCTAGAGAAAAACTATTGATGTACACACACACATATACATACATATATAAATAAATAAATAAATAAATAAATAAATAAATAAATAAATAAATAAATAAATAAATAAATAAATATATATATATATATATATATATATATATATATATCCGTCTCAGTCTTGTATTTTAGCTAGCTTTAAGTTTAAGGCTGACATCTGAAGGTTGCTGGGACTAGAATATAACAACACTGTGTGAAGCAACCATTCTGACAGTCTGGGCGGAGGCTTTAGATAATAAACTCACCTGCTCTATGTGCACTGGGTGATCTGCAGGCAGTCAGGCGCGCCTTGGATCAACCAGTGATGCCTGGCCTGCTCCCAACTGTTGGCAGGTGTGGTGACGTGTGGGGGATCAGCTGTGTGGGTTCGTGGATACATGCAATGTATGGAAGAGTGACGTCACATTGTGGTTGTATGACGTCATAACGTGGCCGTTTGACGAGGTAGTGTGGTTGTGTGGCGTTACAGTGTGGGTGTATGGCATCCTAGTATGGTTGAGTGATGTCGCACATGCAGTTGTGTGACGTCATAATGTGGTTGTTTGTGTGACCTCGTACTTGTAATACATTATATGTTATATACGCTTTATCCCGGTGTCACATCTGTAAAGGCCTGACATCATATACGAGATTGTATAACATCTTAGATTATATTTTACACGACGAAACCACACGAGCTACTCTGGTTGTGTAACATATGGACGCTACAGAGACACATACGTTCGTTATGTGATCTGATCAATATCTTTAAACATTTGATTTATTACAATAGCAACTCGTCACGCAAACTATTCCCATTTCTCATGGTCCTACATCACTTTATCTTCCGCGTGACGCCCTCCCTTTCTTTAAATAGACCCGGTGTTTACATCAGTGTCGTCATAGACTATTGACCACAGCTGAACGTCACTTGTCTCTCTTGGAAATTGGTAACCTCCCTGCACCAGTTTACACTGACCACTGTGATCTCGACTAACTACCTCGCACCTGTTTACATTGACCACTCTAAGTGATCTCGACTGACCACCCCACGACCACATGAGGCCGTGCACTTACTGACCCAGGCTCACACAGACAGCTGTTTAAATACAGAGGGCATGACTCGATCGTGAGCACCAATCTGCTGAAGTTGTTACACGTCTCGTTATGTTAGTCATGTGATGGGTGGTCAGTGGGTGGTAGGTGGTTAGTTCGTGTGGTGTGGCCAGTTGGTGTGTTGAGGTCAGTTCGTGTGGTGTGGTCAGCTCATGTTGTGTGGTCAGTTCGTGTGGCGTGGTCAGTGCGTGTTGTTGTGATGATGCTGCAAACAGAGAAATACTACCACATCTCATCACTTTGATACCACACGCTATCACATTGACACCAACTTATCTCTGTAGGTACTTGACTTCAATGACTAAATCAACCACCAGCATAAAACAGTAATATTACACTCTGACAGTTAACCTGAACATCAATCCCACTGTTGCTTTATTCGCTGTAACTCAACATTACATTTAAGTGTTACCCTATCCGACACAGCATTGTCACTATGTGCTCAGCCTCCTATTGTAGCAACCCACACAGTATCATTTCGCTACTTTCTGTAACATTATCCTATCCAATACAGCATAGATACTTGTATTCTGTCGTCTATACCCTCTCTCCACTTGTCATTGTTTCGACGTGCTAAGCATTCTATTCTACCATCCCACACAATACCATTGCGCTATTCTCTGTGACATTACACTGTAGTGTTACCCCATCCAACACAATACTGTCGCCATGTACTCAATCATCTATACCACCATCCCACTTACCATTGTTACGTTGTGTTCAGCCTTCTATCTAAGCTACCAGCCCACGCTATTTATCGCTCTGTACCCTGTAACTGTACCCCACGTTTACTCTGTATTATTACCGTACCCCACCCAGTATTGTTACGGTATTGTCTTGTGTCATCTGTACCACCAGCCCACACACCATCATCAGCCTCTCGTGCATGCTGAACATCCACTCACACCCAGCTAACACCACCTGCTCACACTCCAAGTTTTATGGATTGGATTTTAAAACGTCTAGGAATTTTTTTTTCCCTTCGATCAATTACTTGAGTAAAGTGAATCGAATAAAACTTTTTTTTACTTATTTAAAAAATATTCGGATATCCAGATAATTATTTCGTGTTACATATTACAAGATTTGAAAGGCATCTTTCAAATTTAGAATCAAGTTAAAAGTAGTTCTGACACATGAGACTGTAATAAAGGCTATATCATACGCGTATTAATCTTATTTTATGCGATCATCAAATTTTTAACTAAAAAAAAATTATGTTGGAGAAAGTTAATGTTTTACATATGTCGAGAGGTGTTAAGTGCAAGCTATATTTAGAAATCTGCCAGTGAGCAGTACCAAGTGGGTATCTAGATTTTATAAACATGTTAATTTATCGAGTTAATGAATACACACAGGAAACGATTGGTCGCATCGTGGGATATTCAAATAACTCATTTTACACTAGATCTATATGAAATTAAAATAAGCCGTATAACTAATTTCGAATGGGATTTAAATAACTTGTGGTGCGTTAGGAAACATAACGAATATTACTTGTATCAAGTTAAATTAAAAGTAAATTCCTCAAGTTGCATTTTTCGATGATCATATGTTTTATATCGCTTTAAAAAGAAAAAAATGTCTAATGTATAGCTAATGTATAATCACAGAGTACCACTCCCATTAAACATAAATTAAACTAATTGCACCCATTAGAGCTTCTGTTTTTCTCTCTGCATTATTTTTAGCAATCATCATGGGGTTTTTTTTTCCAGATATAAATGTGTGCTTTATTTCACTTTTCATTTTTAAAATTTTATCCTGAAAGCAATGTTCAATTTTTTTTTCAATATCATATATTTTATCTATTTTTCACATCTCATTTTTCAGATATTCGACGTGTACTGATTAAATTCCATTTTAGCCAACGGCCATTTTGGATTTAAAAAACAACGCCATGAAGCTTTCTTGGTTACCACGGTAACGAGGGTAGGTGCCACTGCTGAATTGATCTCTCGACATGATTGTATTTTTAAAGAAAGATAATCTCTTGTTAAAATGTGGGCTCGGCATCGCAGAACGTGATTAGATTCTGAATGGAGTTAACTAGCTCAAGGCTTATGCTGTAGACTACAGGCGATGCACATTCGTCTAGACGATAATCTACACCAATCATGCCGCCTCGTTTGGAACTTTCTAAACCCCCGCTCAGTCTAAATCTACAAGTGTAGACGGGCTTCTAAGTCCACCCGGGGTAAACCATGATGGATATAGAACACTTGTACCTCCCCAAGGTCACCAACACATCGGGTTTGTCCTTGAACTGGTCAGGTCAGGACAACATGACCTACCAGTCGTACGACGTCGGCAAGGTCCTGCTGGAGTTGTTTGGCGCCAAGCGCAAGGAGATGCTCTCCGTCGTCGTCCTGATGATCGTCTACAGCATCATCTTCCTCACCGGCGTCATCGGCAACGTCTGCACCTGCATCGTCATCGCCCGGAACGCCTACATGCGGACGGTGACCAACTACTACCTCTTCAGCCTGGCCGTCTCTGATGTACTCACGCTTCTGTTTGGTGAGTCTTTTGGAAATTTTAAGGGGGTTTTCTCATCGTATGGTGTTCTTATTTTGTTGTTTGGCGAGTCTTTTGGAAATTTTAAGGGGGTTTTCTCATCATATGGTGTTCGTATTTTGTTGTTTGGCGAGTCTTTTGGAAATTTTAAGGGGGTTTTCTCATCGTATGGTATTATCATTTTGTTGTTTGGTGAGTCTTTTGGAAATTTTAAGGGGGTTTTCTCATCGTATGGTGTTCTTATTTTGTTGTTTGGCGAGTCTTTTTGGAAATTTTAAGGGGGTTTTCTCATCGTATAGTGTTCTATTTTGTTGCTTGGTCAGTCTTTTGGAGATTTTGATGGGGTTTTCTCATCGTATGGTGTTTTCATTTTGTTGTTTGGCGAGTCTTTTGGAAAAAAAATTTATGGGGGTTTTCTCATCGTATGGTGTTATAATTTTGTTATTTGATGAGTCTTTTGGAAATTTTAAGGGGGTTTTCTCATTTCAATGGTGTTCTCATTTGTTGTTTATTGAGTCTTCTGAAGATTTTTGGGGGTTTTTCTCATCGTATGGTGTTCTTACTTTAAGGATTGAGAAAAAAAATTACTTTTTTTTTTGTTCATTAGGTGTACTTGTTTTGTTGTTTGGCGAGTATTTTGAAGGAATTAAGGTAGTTTTCTGTTCCTAATGTGTTTTTCACTCTGTTGTATGGCGAGTCTTAAAACAAATATAGGTAGTTTTCTTTTCGTAAGATGTACTATCTATAGCGCTGGCTTCATGTTCAAGAGTTATTTTTCTCTTGGCTTTCTATCAGATCATAGTACTGTTCATTTGTTTTAAATTTAAAAACTTCTGTTAATTTTGATTTGGTCTTTCTATCATTTATACAATTTTAAGTAGTTTTATAAAAATGTTCGCGTTAAGTGTCTAAATGTTTACTTATATTCTACATATTGTCAAAAAAGTATATAAAATCAGTAAAATACTGATACTTTTGTTTTCATTTTAAACATTATTTTATTTAAGAGATTCGTACAGCAACAAATCTAGAGAACAAATAGTAGATTTTTTTATGATGAAAACTTCAATCAAACCTCAAAAATCATTCGTCAGTTATTTTTTTGTGTGAGTTGTGACAATCAATAATTTCTGAGACGAGAAACAAGTTGGCACCTTTCCCCTCTCACTCCATTTGTCAGGCTGTTTACGACGAAGAAAGTTATGACAACAGTACTCCGTGTCATCAACACGGCTCTAATTGTTTTGGTGGTGCTGGAAAACAGAGATTTCCTCGGGGACAGGGGGAGGGGGTGGGGGAGAGGGATAAGCTGATTTTTGTTGTCTCCTGACGATTGGTTGGTGAGGGTGACTCTCCCACCAGGGGTCCCTTCGGTCGCCACGGTGACTAGTTGGGCGGGGGGTCGTAGAACGTAAAAAGGTTCGGCGATGGAGAGGGGGAGGGTCGTTGATATAGGCAGATAAGATGGGGATCGTAGAACATATAGAGATTAGGCTTGATTCGTAGAACGTACAGTGGTTTGGTGAGGGTGGTGGGGGGGGGGTCTTTGAATAGAGGCAGATAAGGTGGGGATCGCAGAACATGAAAATTGGTAGGCGGGGGTCGTAGAAGGTAAACAGGTTTGGTGTAGGGGAGGTAGGGTGGGGGTCTTCAAAACAAAATACAGGCTAGGCGGGGGTTGTTAAATATATAAAGGCTAGGCGGGGGTTGTAGAATATATAAAGGCTGGGCGGGGGTCGTATATTCAATAGACGGGTGTTGTAGAAAGTAAACAAGTTAGATGGCATCGTAGGGCATACATACGGAAAGGGTTCGAGGAGCACAAACAGTTAATTGAGATCAACATAACATTTATGTGGGGTGCATAGAACTTAACAGTTATGGTGGGGGGGGGGGGCGATGATCATAGAACATAACAGTTAACGTGGAGGTCGTAGTACATAAACAGTTGTGACAGATTACACAAACACACCAGCATTAATCTTTTGACCGTAAGCTTTGGGACAATTAATTATATCGCCTGTCATTCTTAATTTATAAATCCATGCATTTTATTCGCCAAACCAGCAGCTTACTTGGCAACGCATCCTTCTACTGCGTTAGTGTTTAGTTTATCTGGCCATCCTGTTATCTTTTCTGTTATCAACGTTTATTTTAACTAGCTCCCGTGACGTCAGTATTGTGTTGTTTTTGTTTTTTTTACTTAGTTGTTCATTACGCCATCCTTCAATAGAGATTTTATTTCATCACATTTCATGAATCCTAAATGTTAACATTTTCAGGAACTAATTTTTAAAACTGGTAAGCTACACTGTGAAGAAATACTTACGAAAACAGGCCTATTGATAATGAAAAATACAGTTTAAATGTTGTGTAATGAATGTTGTTTGTACATTCAACTTCTTACAAAAAGATCAATGACAAAATTAAGAGATCTTTTTGGTTTATAAACAGAGCTTATATTTTGTCAACAGCAAAACGGTAATATCATATTACAGTTTTTGACCCGGCTATAGACAGCACAGGCATTAAGCTTGTGAGCAGAGTGTCTAAATATAGCATGCATTTATTATTTACTAACAATAGTCTGCACTGTTTATTTATTGTGTTGCGGTCATTAAACATTCAGTGTCTAAAAATACTTTCGACAGGCATTGCAGTCATTGTATTTCACAAGAATATTATATTATCTGTGTGCATCACGATTTGCTGCATATATATATATATATATATATATATATATATATATATATATATATATATATATATATATATATATATATAATCTGTATTTATATAGTCTTGAGTGCACAAAGGTCAAAGGACATACAAGATACTTGGCTCATACAGCATACGTGTAGTACTTAAAACATGCTAGGCACATATAACATACATACATGTGGCACATTAAAAAAACACATCGTTCTAGATACATATTAATAATAGCCCAGAAGATGTACTCACGGTAATACGCTAACTTTACACCATATTTATAAATGTGCATGATCTAATACATAATTTACACTCTTATGTTAAAATGGGCAGACAACTACAATAAACACTAAAATAAATGTAATGATGGACGAGTCTCCGCCCATTATTTAAGGGTTAACGATTATTTTAAGCGAATATTTTTTTTAAAAAGTTGTTCTTCGTCTATTAGTTTACATCACACTCACTGCTAACTTGATGTTTGACGTAATTCTGTTTCCGGCTTTTAGTTTATCACAGTCTCACAACTTTTGTTCACGACACAACAAAATCTGGCTTCTGCTGTTATGGCGGCAAAAGGGAGATAATTTTATTGCGAATGTCCCAGGTACTTGAAAAGTTCATAGGCTACTCACATGGAATTGTTTTAGACCAATCGTTTTGTTGGGCAGAGTCTGTGAGTAAAATTTGTTTGTTGGGTGCTATCAAGAACAAAGATAGCCATAAATATTTGTATTGGTTCTAGCCACAATCGCAGAAAATATTTGTATTGGTTCTAGCCATGAATACTTCTGTCAGTCAACATATATTATTCAGGTGAGCTGTGTTTGACCTACAAGATAAAATAAAAGGAACGAAGCAATGAAACTAATCAACAAGCAATACATTGATATTTAATAAGTAATTGAGTTATAGGCATAAAGTACGTAAATCATTTTCAAGAAATATATAATTTGTAGGCAGGGGTGGTTCAATGAAGTAGTTAAATAGCGCAATAAAAAGTTATTTTTGCCAGTTAAATTGTAAACAACGAAACTAAAAAAAAAAGAACGTAAAATAAAGCCAACCACTTATATTGACATAAACTCGCATGTTGCAATTTTCTCTGATGATTAAAGAGCTTTATAAGATTCCATCCACCCACAAATTCAATAAATCCTTTTTTTTTCTCAACTGTATGACATCATCTGGATAGAAGGCGACATTAAGGATTGATTTGATTACAGTGCGTGTAGGGCTTGACGTTTACGAACGTAATAAGTCCAAGAGTCATTGACTCTCAGTCGGAGAGTCATTGACTCTCACTTACCACCGTCCTGAAAACTAGATGACGCTCATTTCTGACATAGTAACAGTAACCATACTTTTGTCTAATTAAGTAACTACAATATCAGGTTCCTTAACTCCCTCGGCGCTTATCGTTCTTTCATTTAAAAAAAATCTGAACAAAATATTACGACACTGTGTTAGCTATTCGTTTTTTTTTTACCACGCTTCCCACGCAAACCATTAAAAGCTGTTAACCTTATATTTCTTTTCAAATACATTCTTCCAGTACAGGCCATGCCCTCATTAAATCTCTCTCTCTCTCTCTGTATATATATATATATATATATATATATATATATATATATATATATATATATATATATATATATATATATATATATATATATATATATATATATTTGTAACAGGCCTACATAGGTCTATAATTTAAATATATGCCGCATACGCGTACATGTATGTGTTATAAGCTTAAATCACTGCCGACTTAATAGTAACAATGTTTATCTTTAGTCTGTTAATAATACAGTTGTTTTCTCCATAGTTAGTGCGGTAACATCATGGTGTCAGCCACGCCCCCTTGTAATAATTATCGATTTGTACTTGCAAGACTATTAAACTTTATTTAATCATGAATGGATTTGGCAAAAAGCATTTTTCTTCTGTACATTTTGAACTTTTTTGCCAGGTGTCACCCTCCTAAATAATTGTTAGAAAATCTAGCAATCTCATAAGAATTGAGTTTAAATTTAGTTTATAAAGTATGTGATCGTGTAGACAGCTGTAGCTATGTTGCCCAGTAAGTATGTTGCAACATCTACCCTCAAAGCACTAGACTCCCATTTGAAAATAAAAAATTACCAGTTAACACATCTCTAAAAACACTTTTTACTTGTTTTTTTTCACTGCCAGAAAATGTTTTCCAGGCTCATTTTCAACTTGAAGTATGGCGTCATTTGTACGAGTGCCAATCTAGTGGGCGATAACAGGGCCAAAAACTTCTG